ACAGAATCCCCTTTTTCCCGCGTACATTAAACACTGGTGGGGCTTCGCCAAGCCGATATACCGTGTGTCTACATTGCAGCTAATTGAAAACACGTGATCTCATGCATATGATTTGCGCGATCGAGTGGTGTGTCCACATCGACATAGCGTGGAAACCGCTGATTGAGGTCACTGAATGCCTCATCGCGGTTGCCTCCCTATAGGTACTAGTGATGGTATATAAAATATGTATAGCATCAAGAGCTAATAATACCGTATAATAATAAGGTATTATTAGCTTTTGATTGCATATATGGTATATGTGTATATGGTATATGTATGTATGAAATATATATATCTAATATATATATATATAGCCTCCATATAGATAGCAGTGTGGTATATAAAATACCAATAGCGTACCGGTACTCTAGCACACATTTAATAGCAATGATATGATCATATCAGAAGTCTAATAATGTAGTCTATATTATGCCACTCATAGCAGCACGATAGCGACACAAAAGTATAGCAATCAAAAATAATAACAATAAATGTAATAATATATAAATAATATACATAATACATAAAATATAATACAAAAAGGTAGATGTACACACGATACAAATATATACGATACATGGCTCTGGTGGACGTGTGTGAAGGCATCCGGCACGATGCTTGCATAGGCAGGTAGCGGCTAGCGTGTAAGGGGAGCTGGGGTGGGTAAACACGCCGATAGGAAATTGCTAGGTCGGATGGCGTGTCGGAACAAGATGGTTGGACGTGCGGGGAGTATGGAAACTGTATAGACATATCGGTAGAACTTTCCACACGAAGGTTGTGGCGGCGGCTGCGGCTGCATTAGCAGACGAGAGCAAACAGCGAGACCGGTGTAAGTATATACAGTTGTTATAAGTAATATTAAGTGCTGGGAGTCTGGCTGGCAACTAGGATGGTCGATACGCACGCACGAGTCCAGCAGCATCGGTAAACGTCGATGAAGTTTTAACAGTGCGCGTGTACGTAGAGAAGACGACAGGCATATATGTAGACAGGTACAGAGGTAGTTTTACTAGCAAGCGTAGCCTCACTAGCTATCATGCCTATATTAGTAAGCGTAGCCTCACTAGCTATCATGCCTTTACTAGCAACGTGAGATGCTGCAACAAAGGGGATCTTGTCACAAATATCCAACAACGCGCCAGCCTGGTGAAACCTTGCCGTCAACTGGCTTCATCTTACAGTTTCAAAATGCGCAGCCTAACAATAATCTGACGCATTAGAGAAGGAATTTCGTACGGTCGTGCTCCTGACGGGCAGACAGCTAAGAGAAGGAGAGAGAAGGAACATGAGAAAGTGGGTGAGAGAGAGAGGCGAGAGAACGCGCGCGCGCGATATAGAAATAGAGATAGAGAGGAAGCGAGACAGAGGAAAAGAAAATTAGACAGAGGGGAGGGCTACAACGGGAGAGACAGCCAGCCAGACAGACAGACAGACAAACAGACAAACAGACAGATCGACCGACAGACAAACAGACAGACAGACAGATAGATACGAACATAAGAACTGACAGAGGGTAAGAAAGAGGAGTGAGAAAGACAGACACGGAAAGAGAGGGAGAGAGAGGAAGGCGAGAAAGAAATGAGAAACAAAGAAAAGAAGGTGAGAGGCAGAGAGAAATACTGAAAGATAGCAGCCGCATTCAGCAAGAGAGCGTCAGGAGCACGCTGCCTCGCTCACTCATATGCTAATGCCTCATCCCGCGTTGCGACTGATGGCTTAAAGGATTTATTTCGAAATCATTGCTCAAATACGCACAAGCTGAAAGATATACAGCGAAATATTATAGTCTCACCTAGTAGCGGATATATTACTGATTAAACCAACTTGAAAAACACTAAGAATTTATGCTGTTATAGCATAGAAAATTGGATTTGAACACGCCGTAACGCCATGGCATATTTGATTACAGCAACAATTAATTTACAAATGGCGCCTTCAAAACGGATTTGATTCCGTGTATTTTACTTCGTTTCTATTTTTAAATTGGTTGATGATTTGCAAGAAATGACGGCGGAAATCAAAACGAGTAATCAAAATTCGAATCAAGCCTGTTTTTGTGAATATAGCCAAGTACGAAGATTCTAAGACATGTTAGCGCTACTCTAGACAGTTTCCGTTACTCGAGAAATAACGGTAACTATCGTATAAATGGGGGGAAACACGAGACTGGTTGGAAATTATTTTCGAAATGGTGGCTCTAACGACGCCGCATTCGCATCGGGAAAACTCTAAAGAAGGTGAGAGGCAGTATAGGAAATACTGAGAGATAGCAGCCGCATTCAGTAAGAGAGCGTCAGGAGCGTGCTGCCTAGCTCACTCATAATGCTAATGTCTCATTCCGCGTTGCGACTGACGGCGCCGCTTTCTCATCGGAAAACCTCTAGCAAACGCTATAGCTGTTACTTATGTTGTATTGTACATATTGCATTCATGTACAATGTACAATGTACAATGTACAATGTACATTAGTGCATCACGTGATAAATCGTTGAAATTCCATTGGATAACGCAGCAGGCACTATGAAGCAATAGTGCCCGCCTGAGCGGGCACTGTTGCTTGTACGGGGCGCCATGCAGGACAGGCATTTTTGTACCTATAAACTTGACAAAAATGAGTTTTGTGAACACAAAACTCAATTCTGTCAATCCTGTCCCACAAAACTCAATTTTGTGAACACAAAACTCAATTCTGTGTGTGTGTGTGTGTGTGTGTGTGTGTGTGTGTGTGTGTGTGTGTGTGTGTGTACGTATATACATAGGGGTGAGACACCGTGTGTGTGTATGTAATGGCGGTTCGTTACCGGTTCGCACTGCACCGAGGGCTGTTTGTGCTCGTTAAGGTTTCCGTTTCTCTTCGCCGATCCACCGCCGCCGCCGCTGCTGCTGCGCGTGCAGAGATCGTGTCGACAACGTCTTCTCTTACGAATCGTCAGCCTGAATGCAAAAGAAAGAAGCACTACAGATGCGGTCGTTCTAAATCAAGAGCATCTCATCGTAATTGCGTTTACGATGTGTACCTGAGTAGCGGTAACGGGTGTGTGACAGTGAGTACTAGTACACGCCGGTGTTCGTAAGAGCGACTAGCGTATTAGCCACAGAGGCAGCGTTCGTGAAAGCGCCGAATCGCTGGAAAACGATGCCGACGAAATCGACAAAATTACCCTGGTTCGCTCGCATTTATTTTTAGAAAAAAGTGTTGTGTGCCTTCGGCGAAATTGAAACCCTTTCTCGATAAACGATGTCGCGACTGTTTTCTTTAAAGCATACTAATATTACAGAGCGCTTTATCTTTTATAATGCGGAAAATTTAAAGTGGGGAGTATGTGTGTGTGTGGGTGGGGGGCGAAGTGGTGGCGTGTACGGTGCTTGTATATATACGTACGCTAACCAAAGTAGAGTTGCCAGCAGCACGAGCACACCTAGCACGCCGAGTACCGTAGCGAGGATGATCACTTCCATCTCGTTCAACCCTTTACCTGTTAACATAGCCGTGCAGACACACTTTATTGCTTAGTCAACCACCCAAACAGAACCCTTTACCTAGCGGTGCTGACACGCACGTTATCAGTTGAACCGCGACCCAAACAGAATCCTTTACCTGTTAACATAGCGCGGGGACAGATTAGCGACAACAGCGTCAACAGCGACAACAGCGACAACAGCAACAATAGCGTCAACAGCGACAACAGCGACAATAGCGTCAACAGCGACACAGCCTGCCGTGTCCCGTAGGGCCCCGTATAGGTTATCTACAGCCTACACTCCACATCCGACGGACGCGATAGATGCTGCCGACAACAACCGCACATTTCACTGCTGTTACCATTAGATTGCCCCGCGCGTAATACGGCGCGAGGGATAAAGGTATAGCTATTAGTGCACTCTCTCTATATAAATGTCGGCTTGATGTAAAATGGGACGTGAGCGAGAGTCAGAGAAAGGAGTAGACGGCGTCATCTTTATTGACCCGCCCTACAGCGCCGCCTACTGGTCATGTGTTAGCGAACAGTGAACAGCAGTGTCGACGGTCCTCATAGGACAGTAGTTGTGTGGTTTTAATCAACGTTATTGCAGCGCCACCTACCGGTCATGTGCCCGGGAACTGTCGGCAATTATAGAAGCTCGACGGTCTTCATTGTACAGTAGTTGTGTGATTCTAATCAACGTTACTGCAGCACGCGTCACGTATCGCCGGCGACTCCCAGAACGGTAACGAAGAAGATATACGTGTCTGGTAGTTGCAGCGCGAATTGGAATCGAATTGTACATGGAACATAGAAGAAGTGAATAGTGAAGTGTGGCAGCACGTAAACGGCTACGTTTGTTGACACGGCTGTGTGAGACCGCGGTATTACCGTATAACTCAAACACGAGCAGCTACCTTCCCCACGTTGCTCGCTCGTACTCAGTGGATTCAAATCGGCAATTAAAATTATTAATTGAATTAATTAATAAAATTAAAATTAATTAAATGGATTGAAATTATTCATCAGCGCTGATACTAGGTTACTGACTGCCCAAGGCTGATTGACAATCGCGAGAGACAGTGCAATCTAGAAACAGCAAGATGATGGATGGACTAGCCGTGACATAATGATGACGATTATAACGGTAACGGTAATAGCATAGCGCTAACTAAACTGACTGCGAAAAGGCATCGCAATCTGGAGACAACAAACATAATTGAGAGATAATAATGATGCTGATAATGATCATAATAAGGTTAATGATAATGGTAAATCAATAGCGCCTAATTAAATCGACTACGAGAGACAATGCAGTCTGGAAGACACAAGAAGATAATAATAATAAATAAAAGTCATACTAACAATAACAATAACAACAACAATAATAATAGTAAGAAGAACAACAATAATAATAATATTTAAAAAGAAACCAAATAAAACAACAAAATCAGCCACGAGGGAGCGTTGCAAGCCGCCGAAAGCTACGGCATGATGAACTGTGAGAAGGACATCACGGAGCTCTACCAGGCGGTCGAGCAGCCGACCCAGTCGGCAGCACTCGCCGCCTTCAACCGACGCACGGAGAACATCGTCAACGTCTTCGTACTTCCGGTTCTCATCGTCGTCGGCGTTGTCGGCAACGCGACGAACCTCGTCGTCTGGTGCCGACCGCGCATGCGCATCGCCGGCGGGATACAGTGCTCTCTGTCGGGCGTCGCCGCTGCGAACATTGTCGTCTTGCTCACCGTCATTCCGTCGCTCGTACAGCACGCGTCGGACGAGTTCACGCTCGACCTGATGCGAGCGAAGGTCGTTTGCCACGCGCTGCACAACGCCTTCCGGCACGTCGGCATGTGGCTGGCCGTGACGATCGCCGTCGTGCGCTACGTCGCCGTGCGATACCCGCTACTCGTCAACGCCTGGATGACGGTCCGACAAGCGCGTCTCATCGTCGTCGCCATCTTCGTCGGCGTCGTCCTACTCGACAGTCCGCGTCTCTTCCAGTTCGGCGTCTGTCGCTACGAGACGTCGGTCGTGATGAATTTCAGCAGCAGCAGCGGCGGCGGTGGCGCGGCGATCGCCAACGCCAGCGCCGCCGCTGCATCGTCGGAGGACTCGTGGTCGCGGACGATCTATTTCATCGCGCAGACGAAGTTCTGGCGCGAGCGCGCACACGTAGTCTACCCGTGGATCAGCGGAGGCATGTTCTTCGTCCTTCCGATGTGTCTTGTCTTCGTCTTCAACATCTTCCTCGTGCGGCAGGTTCGCCTCTCGAACAGCTTCCGCGCTCGCATGGCGACCAGCGATGGCGGCGGCGGCAGCGGCGGCAGCGGCGGCAGCGGCGGCAGCACCAGCGCGCACGCCGAGCGAGCAGCCGAGACGCACATCACGCTGTTCCTCGTCGGCGTGCTCGTCGTCTACTTCCTGCTCGAGCTTCCCGAAGCCATCTACACGGTGCTGCTCGGACTGTCGTCGCCGCAGCTCGACGCTCAGGAGCGTCACGCTGGCGCCGTGTCCATCGTCAACTGCATCACGATGATCAACTGCAGCTTGAACTTCGGCATCTACTGCCTGCTGAGTCGCCGATACAAGCAGGTGTTTCGCGACACCTTCTGCTGCGTGCGCGCGGCGAGATTTGATCGGCTGATGGCGTACACGGCGGGAAAACGCAAACTGGTGGTCACCATGCACGGGTCGGCCGATATCCCGCTGACGTGTTTGGACAATCCGCGACCGCGGGCCGGGACGATGACGACCGTCTGTTCACGTAGTATAGATGTTGGTCACCGCTAGCGTGAGCTGAGTGAGTGTGAGTGTGAGTGTGAGGGTGTGAGTGTGAGTGTGAGTGTCGGTGTGAGTGATCATGAGTGTCAAGGGGAATTAGTGTCGGTGTGAGTGAGTGTGAGAGTGAGTGTGAGTGAATGTGAGTGTGAGTGTGAGTGAGTGACGGCATGAATGTCAGTGTCTGTCAGTGTCGGTGTAAGTTAGTGTCAGTGTAAGTCAGTGTCGGTGTAAGTCAGTGTCAGAGTAAGTCAGTGTCGGTGTAAGTCAGTGTCAGTGTAAGTCAGTGTCAGTGTAAGTCAGTGTCGGTGTAAGTCAGTGTCAGAGTAAGTCAGTGTCGGTGTAAGTCAGTGTCAGTGTAAGTCAGTGTCAGTGTAAGTCAGTGTCGGTGTAAGTCAGTGTAGGTGTATATGTCCGTCAGTGC